CTACTTTATATAATTCTCACGACAATCTCATGATGTACAGGCTATTATTGCCCCGTTTAACAAATATAGAAACTGAGGCTTAGAGAGGTTGAATAACTTGTCCAAGGTCACATAACTAATTAGTGGATAGACCAATAATCACGCCCACATTTTTTGAACAACAGACCCTATGCTCTTAAGCACTATCATTGCTATGGTACAGTACCTCCCTATCTCTCATCATTTATATCTAATCAATTCTCAGCTTGTCAGTTTATCCTAGGAATTCTATCAGAAACATATTCCTTTGACTACTCGAGTCCAGAGAACCTGATTTTCTCATACTGATGATGTCTGCAGTCTCCTAATGTGTCTCTTTGCTTCCAGTCTCTCCTCCATCAATTCATCCTTCAGACCATAGCTAGATTCTTCACTCTCTAGAACATAGCTCTCCCCATGTACCAATGTAACCTTGAATAAACTAGGTCACCTCTTTGGGTTGGTTTGTTTCCTGTAAATGAGTGAATTCGATGACCTCAACGACCTTTCAAGTTCTAGAATTCCAAGAGGTTTCTGATAAGTCACTATCCTATCCCCAAACTGCCAGTGGTTTACCAATTAACTATAGCCTAAGGTCTAAATGTGGCATTAGGATTGGAGGAAGACTCATTAACAACCTGTGATATGCATATGACACAACCTTGCTTGCTGAAAGTGAAGGGGACTTGAAGCACTTACTGATGAAGATCAAAGACTATAGCCTTCAGTATGGATTACACCTCAACATAAAGAAAACAAAAATCCTCACAACTGGACCAATAAGCAACATCATGACAAATGGAGAAAAGACTGAAGTTGTCAAGGATTTCATTTTACTTGGCTCCACAATCAACACCCATGGCAGCAGCAGTCAAGAAATCAAGCGAAGGACTGGAGAAACCCCGAGAGTATGGTCCCTGGACACCCTTAAAACTCAGTACTGAAGTCACTCCTGAGATTCACCCTTCAGCGAAGGATTAGACAGGCCCATAAAACAAACAATAATACACATAGCTCAACCATGTATACGAGACTAAATGGGCACACCAGCCCAGGGGCAAGGACGAGAAGGCAAGAAAGGACAGGAAAGCTGGAAGAATGGAAATGGGGAGCTCAAGGTCAAGAACGGGAGAGTGTTGAGACATCACAGGGTTGACAACCAATGTCACAAAACAACATGTGTATTGTTTAACGAGAAACTAATTTGCTCTGTAAACCTTCACCTAAAGCACACACAAAAAAAATCACTTAAAAAAAAAGAAATCAAACAACGTATTGCATTTGGCAAATCTACTGCAAAAGAACTCTTTAAAGAGTTAAAAAGCAAAGGTATCACTTTGAGGACTAAGGCATGCCTAATCCAAGTCATGGTATTTTCAATCACATCATATGCTTCAGAGGACTGAAGAAGAATTGATGTGCTTGAATTATGGTGTTGGCAAAGAATACTGAATATATCATGGACTGCCAGAAGAATGAACAAACCTGTCTTGGAAGATGCAGAGTCAGAACGCTCCTTAAAAGTGAGGATGGCAAGACTTCGTCTCACATACTTTGGACATATTATCAGGAGGTACCAGTCCCCGAAGAAGGGCATCATGCTTGGTAAAGTAAGGAGTCAGCAAAAAAAAGAAAACCCTTAATGAGATGAATTGACATAGTGGCTGCAACAATGGGCTCAACTATAGCAACGATTGTGAGGATGGTGCAGGACTGGGCAGCTTTCCTTCTGTCATACATAGTGTGGATGTGAGCCGGGACTGACTTGACAGCACATAACAACGAGGTCTAACTTCTTAGGATAGCATTCAAGGTTTGTCACTAATCTGATGACCTTATCCCCCTGTTCCATGAGACTGTTGGGAGTGTCTGATTAATTTTTCTGAAATTTCCTACTTTTTCCTGTTTGCATCCTTTGTTTTTGACTAGTTTCCTGATCCCCAACACTGACAGACTTACCTACTAACAACCCTCTTTCTGTGTATCCAGATCTTACCTCTATAAAATCTTTCCCTACCCCATCAAGGCAGCCCAGTGACCACTCTTTCTCTCTCCACAATATTTGATACTATTAATGCAGTTCACTAAACATTATTCCTATTATTATTTTGGGCTGTGAATACATTCAGTTAGTAGCTGTATTCAGCAAGGAGTGGGTGGGAGATCAGGGCAAAGGAATGATCTGCTGCCTGAAGTAGTGAATTCCCATTCTTGGGGGTTTCATGGCTGGATGACTGCTTGCCAGGGTTTCTGGTGAGAGGATTAGTCTATATGCCCACTAAGATTCCTTTTAGCTTTAAATTCCATAAAGACATAGTTTTACGATTTGCTTTGCAAAAACATTTACCTTGGGAAGCCTGGAGGGTTTTATGCAGCGTTGAGAAAAAAAGGGTGAGTGCGGAGTCATGTAACTATGATGGCTCCTAGGAAGAGATGAGACCTTTCTGTTTTCAACTCCCTTCCCCGGTATCTGCCTTGGCAAGATCCTCTCCACCTAATAAGGCTTAAATGATCAATTTAAAAGAACCTAGTTTTAGGACCAATAAGCAACATCATGATAAATGGAGAAAAGACTGAAGTTGTCAAGGATTTCATTTTACTTGACTCCACAATCAACACCCAGCCCTGAGCCCTGGTGGCACAGTGGTTGAGTGCTTGGCTGCTAACTGAAAGGTCAGCGGTCCTAACCCATGAGCTGCTCCTCGGAAGAAAGATGTGGGAGTCTGCTTCCATAAAGATTACCCTAGGGGGCAGTTCTACTCTGTCTTACAGGGTCGCTATGAGTTGGAATCAACTCAACGACAGCGGGTTTGGTTTTGGTTTTAGGATATAGTCTTATGGAGTCTACCAATCAGCCACATTGGAATCATCTGTGAGCTTATTAGAACTGCAAACTCTTAGGCTCCACCTCAGACTTACTGAATCAGAACATGCATTTTAACAAATTCCCAAGTGATTTGTTTGTATATAGAAGTTTGCGAAGCACTAGTATAGCGGACTCCAACCACTGGAAAAATGCTTTATCAATAACTCTATTGAACTGACATTTAATACACCCTCTCAAAAAAAAGAAAAAGAAAGAAAACTAGGAGTCATCATCTATTTTTCTTTCTCTCACACCCCATATCCTATCCATCAGCAAGGCCTGTTGACTCTGCCTTAAATATACATCCTGTAACTTAACACTTGTCTTTATCTCCTTTGTCACCACCTATTGCAAACCACCAGCATCTCTCACTTGAACTACTATTGCAGTCTTAACGTATGTTTTGATTTTACTTAAAAACAATTATTTTTAATTTAAAAATAACTACAAATTCACAGGAATTACAAGAAACAAACAAACAAACAGGGAAATCCATATATACTTCACCCAGTTTTCCCCAATAGCAACATCTTCCCTCACTACAATATCAAAACCAGGAAGCTGACATTGCTACAATTCGCAGAACTTACTCAGATCTCTCATTTTACATGCACTCATTTGTGTGCATATGTGTACAGCTCTATGCAACTTTATCACGTGTAGATTTATGCAACTGCTACCACAATCAAGAAAAAGAACTTGTCCATTACCAGAAGACTTCCTCATGTTACCCCTTTATAGCCACAACTATCCCCTTCCTCCTGTCTTTCCCTCCTGACAATCACCAATCTGTTCTCCATCTCTATAATTTTGTTATTTCAAGAATGTTATATAAATGGAATAAATCGTACGTAATCTTTTGATACTGGCTTTTTTCACTCAGCATAATTCCCTTGAAATCCATCCAAGTTCACATATCCGTAGTTTGTTCTTTTTTGACTGCTGAGTAGTATTCCATAGTATGGATGTACTACAGTTTGTTCAATTATTTACTGGTTGAAGGACATTTGGGTTATATCCAGTTTTGGGCTATCACAAATAAAGCTTTTATGAACATTTTGTATAGGCTTTTGTGTGACTAGAACCTAAACTTTGATTTCTCTAGGATAAATGCCCAAGAGTTCAATTACTGGATTGTATGGTAAGCCCATGTTTAGTTTTATATGAAACTGCCAAACTGTTTCCCATAAAGCAGTCAGAATGATCTTTTTAAAAAGTGTAGCAGATGACATCATTCCTTGTTCAAATCCCTCCAGTGTCTTCCCACCACAACTTAATCTGGCGTCTCTCCAACCCCATCTTCTCCCACTCAATGCTTACCATAAAACCCTACCCTAGACAGTAGACTGACTTGCTACCCCACTTCGTGCAGATCTATTCTGTTGTCACTTCCTCAGAGAAATTTCCCCGACTGACCTTTTAAAGTAGTCTTCCCCTTCAGTACTTTTCCCCTGCCCTTTTTCTTCACCAAAAAAACCCAAACCCGTTGCGGTCCTACCAACCCTGTAGGACACAGTAGAACTGCCCCATAGGGTTTCCAAGGAGCGTCTGGTGGATTTGAATTGCCAACCTTTTGGTTAGCAGCCGTAGCTCTTAACCACTACGCCCCCAGGGTTTCCTTTTTCTTCACAGCACTTATATAATGTCGCACTGTATTATTAATTTGCTTATTTGTCTATTGTTTCTCCCTACTCTCAACTCCATCAGTAGCTCTGAAAAAGTTTACTGCTATATCCCCAGGGCCTAGAATACTGCCTGGCACGTAGTAGGTACTTAAATAACTTATTCCATGACTGACCTAAAGAAGGAATGACTACTTATAAACACGTTTTTCTAAGTCAGGTGCTCCTTCAGTCTTCATGCAAGGTTTCAGCGCCCCCTCTCGGGGAACCAATTCGCTTGCGAACAAACGAAATGAGTCACATAATCTGAAAAAAAAAAAAAAAGAGCGAGAAACTACCGGAAGAGCACGAAACTAGTACCGGAAGTTAAACCACGGAAGGCATCGTAGAATGACATCCTACCCCGAAAAGGAAGAGTAGCCGAATGGTGTTCTGCAAAATGGGTTCTCCGGCATCCCATTTGGACAGAAGCGTTCCGCGCACGTCCGTGCAGAGAACCACGTGGGGCAGGGGCACGTCTCCGGTGCCGGCGGCCGCTTCCAGAATTGAGCTCCAAGCAGCTGGAGGGGTGAGAAGGGTTCGGGGTCCTGAAAGGAAAGAAAGACGAGTGGGGTCGGGGGTGAAGAGGGTGGATGAGTTACACTTTGAGAGGCAGGGAGGGGGCTCGGATGGGAGGAAAGGGTCGTGGAGCCTCTGTCGACAGGTGCAAACCTGCCGCCGCACGTCCCACGCCACGTGGACTCGCCTTTGTCCGTGGCTGCCTCTCCCACCCCGCCGCGAGTACAGGGGTTATGCATTATTTATCTCTGCCGAATACAGTGCCTGGTACTTGGTTGGCGCTCAGTAAGTCTTTGTGGAATGAATGATAGGTACAGATTCCGCGGGTGGGAGGGGAGGAACACTTACAGGGGCTATTTTTGGTTCTTCAGCCCCATTTTCTCCTGGGGGCTCTATGCTTGTCCCGCGCTTCAATCTGGATTTTCCACCCAGTACCTGGCACTTTGTCTCTTTTCCTTGGAGGGAGGAGTGATCGTCATTGAAGACATTTTCTTTGCTCATATTGAGTCCTAGGCTCTGTAGTTAGGTATTGGGAACAGACACAGGAGTAATTCAGTTCTATACGCAGATCACGGACCATTGGTGAGACAGACAGATGAACAGAAAATTCAGACACAGTGTTAAGGTGCTATAATAGGTTAAGTAAATTACAAGAAGATAGAGCTAGGAGTTGGTGCTACTATCCACATCAGGGATTGTCTTCCAAGATAAGGGGCTTCCTCCTCCTTTCTCATTGTGTTGAGACAGGGCAGGTCACGGGACCAATTTCTTCTGTAAAAGGACGGTCTGGAATAGATGGTTTCTAGGCTTCCTTCCAGCATGGTGTTCTGTGAAATTACAGTCCCATATCAGATACTACTATTAGCTGTAGTTCTGTAGTCAGAATATTCACTACATTTTAGGGTATAGCATAATTGCATAAGGTTGAGGCCGGGAATTCTGGTTTCTGGCCCTAACTTGTAATCTGCACCTGCTTTCCCACTTATAAAATGAAGGTGTTGTTATGAAACAATCTGTAAAACCTTTTCCAGTTCTAATACCATGACTGTGGCATTAAGTCAAACTTTATTTCATATTGCCTTCTACCAGACGTCATTTTCACATTATCATTGTTTTCCCCATCTGCATTACTGACAAAGATAGTGTCTTATTTTTACATCCCTTACCTTAGTTTGCCACAGTACTGAATCAAGTGGGACAGAAATGACAGCCCCTGTTTTTGGACTCTTCTCCATTTTGGGATATTAATTCATGGATGAGGGGTGGGGGGAATTGAGATTTTGCTAGAGACTTGCAGTTGACATAACGGATTTAAACCATCCTTTTGGGGTAATCGGCTTTAAAAGGATAATGATGTAGCTAGGATATTCAATGCTGACTCACTCATCCACCTGCCAATCCCCAGGACCATGGCCAACAGTGAGCGCACCTTCATTGCCATCAAACCTGATGGGGTCCAGCGGGGTCTCGTGGGAGACATCATCAAACGTTTTGAACAGAAAGGATTCCGCCTTGTTGCTTTGAAATTCATGCAGGTAAGTGGACTCCACTCTTCCTATTTTGATGCTTTGGTAGTATAGGGGAACATTGTAGGTTAAGTTCTCTGTTTCTTTTCTCCTCTCATTTTTAGACTTCTCTGTGGTAGTGTGGGCACAAATGTCCTGGAACCTGGAAACTCCTCAGTGGGCCAGCATCATGACCGAATCTGGGAACAAACCATGTTATTTGGGGCTTTAGAAAATAGTCTCTCCTTTCCCTTAGCAACTCAGAGTTCCACGTATTACTGCGGCACTGTAATTTCTGAGTCATTGCTGGGCATGTTTGAGCTACTGGCCTCAAGTTTCCTGAGCAGATAATTTTAGAGGATTTTTTTTGTCCTCCTCTGAGGCAAGTTGTTTTTCAGCAAGGAAGTATTTCCATCATCAGTTACCACCCACTTAGTGTCTACAATGTATTAGGCACCATTGGAGCGTGCGGGGAGAAACTGGTTTTGTCCCTGGGGAGGCCCTCCTGAAACGGCAGAAAACAGACAACACCTGCAAGACACCTACAAAGCAACATTTTAATAAATGCAAAGGATTAATTGATCAAGAATCCTTCTTCAAACAAACCTAAGAGATGATAATTCAAATTTCTAATGCAAATAAATTAGGGGACAGTCTTTTTTCTATTAAAGGAATCAACTCTGGCATCTCCTAGTGCATTTTAAATTTAGTTCCTGTGTAATGTTTTAGAAAAACTGCTTTAATATAAAGGGATTGAGCTGGAAGTTAATGCTGAGGGGAGAGCATGATGGAATTATTAGAGCCAGGTGTTGGACAAATAATGCTTTCCAGAGACTTTGCATATTGAACTAGGTTTTGAAGATGAAATGAAAGTATTGTTGATCAGGCATTCACTGTGTAGGGGGCACTGCCAGAGGCATTCTCACAAATGCCTTCTCATCTAGCTCTCGTGACAACCCTGAGAGGTGGGTTTGCCTGTTTCTCTGATTGTCAGTGATGAGGAACCTGAGGCTTGGTGACGTTAAGTCACGTGCCTAATAGTATATAGTCTGAAATGCAGCTGGGGTTTCAGCCTGGGTCCCTCTGACCTCTAAGTGCATGCATTTTTTCCTTTACACTGAGTTTCCTATCAAGGACATGGATTTGGTGAAGAATGAAAGGAGGGAGAGGAGGGATAGCTGCCATGAGTCAAAAGAGTTATTTAAGTGTGGAGGAGGGACGCAAGGGAAAACTTGAGCCCCCCCCACATCGTGTCTTTCCCTCCCCCCTAAAAAAACAAACCAACCCTGTGAGTACTTTGCAGACTAAAAATAGTTGGAATCAACTAATAGAATTAAAAGGTTGTTCTGGTAAGGGAAGGTGAAGTCCATGGTGTTAGGAGACTGCTGCTATAAGAGGTGAAGGGACAAGGGTGAAGGGTAGATTGCTACCATGGAGTGATCACATGGCTGTATAATTTTACTTTGGCAAGGGGTGGTCAACCAGGGCCTGAACTGTAGGATATCCTGGATGTATTTGTAGGCAGCAAATCTCCACATTTGTGTGTATCACTGAAGTGTGCAGTATACCGCATATAGTGCTGAACTGGAAAAACTAAGGGACCCTGTCAGACCCTCAATAAGAGTGTGTGCAGTGGCAAAGAGAGAACCCAGCCAAGCTGAGCTGGAATTGCTAAGCAGATGGTCTGTTCTCTAGCGAACTTGAGTTGTTCCCACGTACCAGCCTTGCAGTAAGAGAGATTCTGATTCACTCTTCAGCAAAATTATTTATTGCTAGATGTCATGCACTTTTGGGTGGCTTGCAGATACTGGTGGGAATTGCTTGGTCACTGCACTGGTCCTTTATCCTCTAAATAAATGTGGAACATTCTTGCCAAGTGGCCTGGTTTGGTTTGCTACTTATCAAATGCCAGGACTACCTTCCTCTAACATTTTAATTAGGGTTTGTTCTGGGAATGCAAATTTATTGTATTAGTTTCCCTATATGTAAATGAGCCCTGCTGGTGCAGTGGTTAAAGCACTCAGCTTCTAACTAAAAGATCAGTGGTTCAAATCCACCAGACACTCTGGGGAGAAAGATGTGGCAGTCTGCTTCCATAAAGATTTATAGCCTTGGAAACCCTAGGGCAGTTCTACTCTGTCCTGTAGCGTCACTATGAGTTGGAATCGATTCAACAACAGTGGTTTTTATATGTAAAATGAGATGGCTGAATTCAGTCCTAGGGTTCTGTGGCTTTATTTTGATCAGTCAAGGCGGAAAATTGGTACAAAACTAAAGAAGCACTTTTAGTTTTTGCCACTACTTCCTATGGTTGTGTGAAGAATGAATTGGATTATAATCGAATCAGCGAGCTGAGCACTCATGTTTTTAAGAGCAGGATGGGTGAATGGGCGTTAACTAGACTGCTGGTTCTACAGTATAGTTTTTGGGCCCAATTCTTATTCTCTACCCTGTGGAATAGGCTTCTGAAGACCTTCTCAAGGAACACTACATCGACCTGAAGGATCGTCCATTCTATGCTGGCCTGGTAAAATACATGCACTCAGGGCCAGTGGTTGCCATGGTGAGTGTGCATGTGGGATGCTGATTGGAATGACTCAATTGGGAGTAAAGATGATTCCTGTTTCTGATGCAAGGTCCTTATTGAAGAGCAAGAAACTGGGGCTGGGGGCATTGGATAGGATATGACCCACCAAAGACAAGGTGCATTTGCTTTCTACACTGAAGACCCATGGCTGAGAGAAATCAGGAGAGGCCTGCCTGACTGTAAGCTCCTGGAGGGCAGGAAGATTGCCTCCTGTTTATTGCAGTAATTCTTCCCCAAGTATGTACTGGTTGTCACCTTTGAGCCAGGCTCTCTTCTCAACACTGGGGATACAGCCATGAATGAGACAAAATAGTTACCTTTCATTGCCTGCACTTCTTGGGGGGTGGGGGGTGGGGTTGTGTAGTGACGAGCAGACAATAAGTAAATTAAAAAGTCTATGTATTGGCTAATGATTAGTGATAGGCACAGATTTGAAATAAGATGATGTGATAGTGAGTGACCACTTTAGATTGGGTGGTTAAGGAAGGCTCTCTAAGGTGGAGATTTTGAAGTCAAGATCTGAATGACAAGGGGGAGTCAGCCATACACAAAATCACAATGAGGAGCATTCCTGACCAATGAAGCAGCATATGCAAAGGCCCTGAGGTAGGGACGAGCTTGGCTTTTTGAAGTACAGAAGAAGGTCGGAATGGCTGAAGCCTGATAAGTGAGAGAGAAGGTAGGAAGAGATGAGTTCAGAGGTGTGGGTAGGGGCCAGATCGTGGGTCACATAGTGTAGCATTCTACGTATGCTGTTTAGCCATGAGAGATTTTACACTTGACACTTTAGAACGACCACTCTGGCTGCTGTGTCAAGAGTGGGAGGTAGAAAGGCGAGAGTGATGGCAAAGAGACCAGTATTCCCAATGCTGGAACACGTAGGTGTTGCATAAAATATTTGTTCAGTGAGTGAATGCTATCTGAAGCAACCTGTTTCTTTTTTTGAATTAGTAGTTGCCAGGTTTTCTGCTTAGATTGGTTTTCTTCCTTGACTGTATCTTCTTTTGTCCTTGGAGGTCTGGGAGGGGCTGAATGTGGTAAAGACAGGCCGAGTGATGCTTGGAGAGACCAACCCTGCTGACTCCAAGCCTGGGACCATACGCGGGGACTTTTGCATTCAAGTTGGCAGGTGAGATTTGGTGCTTATTACTGTTTTTCAAGATCCATGTTAGTTGCCAGAAGAATCTGGGTTTCTGAGGCTGGGAATGGACATGAGATAATATGCAGGAGGATTTTTAATCAGAGTTCATTGTTCTTCTCCCTGGTAAGTTGGTGTTTGGCTTTGAGGGCCCCCTGCCCTTGGTCGTCAACATCACTGTGGCTGTGCCTCTGTTGAGAGTGTAGAACCTGGTGCAGTGCATTTTGCTGGCCAGAGTCCTTCCTGAAGGCTCTCACTACCTGCATCAGTAATGCTAGGATAGGAAGGGCATTCTTCATCCTTGCATTAACGGCAGCCATGGGTGTTTTCTTTTGACATTGTCTAATGTACATGGGGAGTCTCTGGGTGGTGCAAATGGTTAAACACTTGGCCGCTAACTGAAAGTTTGGAGATTCTAGCCCACTCAGAGGTGCCTTGGAAGAAAGGCCTGGCATCTACTTCTGAAAAATCAGCCATCGAAACCTTATGAAGCACAGTTCTACTCTGACACACATGGGGCCACTATGAATCAGAGTCGACTCAATGGCAACTGTTTTGTTTTTTAAATGTAGGTGGAGCTTTGGCTTTTTTTGCTGGCAATCGGAGGAGGGTTTCTGGGCAGTTTTATCTTTCTGCGTTTGATAATGTGGCCATCTTTCCCCACCCAGGAACATTATTCATGGCAGCGATTCTGTGGAGAGTGCAGAGAAGGAGATTGGCTTGTGGTTTCAACCTGAAGAACTAGTAGATTACAAGAGCTGTGCCCAGGGCTGGATCTACGAATGACATGAAGGCAGACCACAGGACTTTTCCCACTCCACTTCCCCTCTCTTCCATGGGCAGGGGACCAGGCTGTGGAGTAACCTAGTTATTTCTGGGGACTTCCTTGTAATCTAGAGGGAAACTTTTGAAGCTGTGAGTGCTCCTTGTACAGTGTTATGTGCTGCCATCAAATTAAAATGCATCATCCCAATTCATTGATTCATTGAGTTAGTTACTTTGTATTGCCGTATTGCTTTGTATTGTTTTTTTGATTTTCATGTACTCTCTATAACCTGAGGTAATAGTGCAAAAAATACATAAATTATTTATATTGGCCTGAGGGATACCTACAGTGTTCCAAATTCTGTGCCCCCTTTCCCCTGACCCCAGTCCCATCCACTCTAGGCACTGAGCCAGTCAACTGGCATCTATTCATGATCTGCTAGGTTGCCAAGACTGGACTGGGCACAGAGGATTCTTTGGAAATAAAAACTTTCTGTTTTCAAGAAGCTCTCAGGGACTCAAGTGGATGGGGGAGTGTGAGAAGTTTTAACTACTCCAAAACTCAGAAAAGCTATGTGGACAGTAGGCCTGGGTCCCTGGGATGTCCTTAAAAGAAGCAGAAGAAATCCTGTAAGTAGCTTTGATTTGTTAGGGTGTTGATTTGGCTGCTTTAACAAAGATAGGAATTTACTTCTCTTTCATTTAAAAGTCCAAGCTGGTTGGTGGGGATCGGGGTAAGGGTGGTAAGGCTCTGATCCTTGAGGCTGTCCAGGGACCCAGGTTCCTTCTAACCAATCCAAGATGGATTACCACCCAATGACTGCCTTCCCGCAAGTTGGGAAAGGAAGCAGAAGGAGCATCTTCCTTTTAAAGGTACAACCCTGAATTTACTACCTTCATTTCCCCTCAAATCCCATTGATCAGAACTTGGTCATGTGAATATACCTAGCTACAAGAGAAACTAGAAAATTTAGCTGGACAGTTATGTGCTCAGATAAAACTCAGGGGTTCTACTATGAGAAAGGAGAATGAATGAATAGATATTAGGGCACAACTATGTATCTCTGCCACAAGCTTTAGCAGGTTTTCTTGGTATTTTCCCTGTTTACCTGGCTTTGGAGCTGGGTAGAGGCAATAAAGGAACCCTGGTGGTGCAGTGGTTAAGCCATTGGCTGCTAACAGAAAGATCGGGGGTTCGAACCCACCAGCAGCTCCACAGGAGAAAGATGTGGCAGTCTGCTTCCATAAAGATTACAGCCTTGGAAACCCTATGGGGCAGTTCTACTCTGTCCTATACGGTTGCTATGAGTTGGAATCCAGACGGCAATAAGTTTGAGTTTTTTGTTTTGGTTTAGGGGCAATAGAGGGGTAGGGCCTTCTCAGGAGGGAAGAGTTGCGATGGGGCTACCTTTTCTTTGGGGGCAGCTAAAGGGTAGATACATTTTCTGTTTCACACAAAGTGTAGCCTGTTTGTTTTGTGGGGTAAGATGAGAGTACCAGGATTCGTGATGACTGAATATGTGTGTAATGAGATAGGAGGATTATATCTACCCTAGTTAACTTAAGGTCAGTCTTTCTAGGAAGGTGTGGTGTGATGGATTGCTTTTGTATGGCCTTTCTCTTTATGGTCTTTTGACTCCTGCTGGATGATTAGGTGGAACTATCCAGGTTAGGTGCCTGTGGCCCACCAAGGGAATTGGACAGTTTGCTAATAGTGTAAATAAGGTGCATGGCATCCTTGTGGAGTGGGACCATGCAAATAAGGTATATGGAACCCTAAGGAGGGGATTGGTCAGTTTTGCCATCCCCCTAGGCTTAAAATGAGCCATCCCAGAGGCAGAAAGGGGGGACCTCACTACCACCAAGAAAGAAGAGATGGGAGTGGAGCATGTCCTTTGGACCTGGGGTCCCTGTGCTGAGAACCTGTTAGACCTAGGAGACAGAGAGCTGTAATATCAGAGACAGTGTAAGATGGTAAGAAGCAGTGTTAGAGAAGCGGCGGCAGCAGAACCAGGAGACCAGCACGAGATGGTGCAGTGGGTTTCCCAGCCCACAGAGTAGGGCAGTTACAGTGGGTGTGCTGACCCACGGAGCGAGCGAGCTGAGCACCTTCGAGCAGGAGGCTTCCTGGTGGAGTGGGGTGCCTCTGGGCACTTGTCGGCAGAGCTAGGCTTGCCAACCCACAGAGCTAGAGAGCCAAGCATCTTCAGACCAAGGTTTACTGGTTGAGTGGGGTGCCCCTGGGCACTTACTGGCTGAGCTAAAGAGCTTTATAACACTTGCCTGAGCAGGGCAGAGGCCAGGCTGAGGGGCCAAGGGGCTAGAAGGCCGAGGGCCAGAGAGAGGCTGCGGGCACAGCTGAAAAGAGGCCGTCCTGATTGAAGAACTGTATCCTGAGTCATCCCTGATCCAGCATTGTAACCTGTTACTTCCCTAATAAACCCCATAATTGTTAAGTATGGTCTGTGAGTTCTTTGTGGCCATTGCAACGAATTATTGAACCCAGCAGAGAAGTAGATAGTGCTGTGGGAAGGACAGCTGGTGTCAGAATTGGTAAAAAGGTTGGAAAGAGGAGGTATGTCTGACCTCCGCCTAATGGGAAGCAGTCTTAGGCTGTTGACCTTGATTCTCCTTCCCGCTTGTTAAGTTAGAGGTCAGACGCCTCCACCACACCATGTTTACAGAAGGAAAGGAGAGGTGAAAGGCAGAGAGCTCGCACTGACTGTACCAGTGAGTAGGTATTAGTGACCTGACCAAGGAGCATGCAGCTCTCTAGAGAAATCTCATGAAGTTCTCAGCCCCTTTCCCACAGCTGACATTTGATAACTCAGAAAAGGAACCCAGATGAGAGTCCACTTCAGACTGAGGCCAAAGGAAACACTGGGTGTCCATGCCCCAGAATAGGGCAAATGATAGTCATTTCCAATGCACTGTTGCTAAATTCCCCTGCAGCTAGAATTCTGGAAAGCCAATAGATATAACAGAGGCCTGGGTTCTCACCTCATCAAACAGCTACCGGTTACCAGCGCAATGCTAGGAATGCAAGGATGATCGCACACGGTGTGATTCCTGTGGCTAGCTCACAGTGTTGAGGGAAAGACAGACACAGGCGTGAGTCTCAGAGCAGTAAACAAGGCTGTACAGGTGTTAGTGCTGGGTGAGCTGAGGGAGGGATTTGCAGACTCCCTTGGGGAAGCTAGGCAAGTCTTTACAAAGGATGCCACACCTGAACTATTGCTGTGTGCCACTGAGTCGATTCCAACTTATAGCGATCCTATATGACAGAGTAGAACTTCCCCATAGGGTTTCCTAAGTTGTAATCTTTACAGGAGCAGATTGCCAGGTCTTTATGCCTGCTGAGCCTCTAGGTGGGTTCAAACTGCCAACCTTTTTGTTAGCAGCCTACCTCGCTTAACCACTGAGCCACCAGGGCTCCTTACACTTGAACTACTTGGCCCTAAATTGCCAGGCAGAGAGGAGGTGGGAATTGTCTGCAAAAAGATGGCAGGCCTGATTCCTAGGAGAGACTCTAGGTGTCCTTGACAAGGGTAAGTGTGTCTTAGGTGGACCTGGATAACCTGACCACATAATTGTGCTGGGTGGGCAGGGGTTGTCGTCTCAGGGTGCGAATGAGGTGGCTAAGTTGGGGCTGGAAAAGCAGGTGGGGAGACAGGCAGGGAGGGTACAGGGCATACAATAAAGAGCCTGGTGAACAGCATCCTGTAGGCCACGGGAAGTCATCAAAGCAGGGGAGAGCCAGGATCAGGTGGGTGTTTAAGGGGCCGGTTGGTGCCATTGGGAAGCTGCCCGTTAATTTGGATGAGTTAGGTTGAAGGCTTGAACCAGGGCTCAAGCAGAGGGGATGGAAAGGGAAGGCTGGATTTCAGAGGTCAGTAGGTAAGATTTTTGTGGGTGGGATGACGGGGACCGAGAGTCAAGCTTTACTCTGGGTGCCCGAGTGGATGGTGGAAACAGATGGTATTGACTGCGGTAAAGAACTCAAGACCAGGGGCAGGTTTTCGTGTGTGTGTCGGGGACATATGGAGGTGACAGAGGTCCTGAAAAGATGAGAAGTTGGATTTAGAATGTGGGACAGTCAGGTGGAGAACAAACCACTTCCTGCCTCTGGATCTCTCACCAGCGAACCCACAGAGTAAAACTGGAAGTCAGCAGACAGTGAGCAGAGTCGTCCGGCCGCATCCGGCCCCCGCGGGTTGGGTGGTGGGGTCCTCGGGGTGTGGCCGCCCCGCGCCCCGCCCCGCGCCCCTCCTCCGAGGACTGCTCCCGGCTTGAGTGGTCGCTCCACGTCTCTGCTCCGCACCGCAAGCAGCGCGTCGGCCGCTCGATCCCCTCCAGCTTCCTGGTAAGGCGGCTGGGGCGCCTTCCCCTTCCGTCCCCCCCGTCCCCCTCGCCCGCTTGTGCCGCGTCGGGTGGACCCCGTCTGCTGGCGCCCTCTCTTGCAGGTCCCTGCGCCGTGTCGGAGCCCCACTGGCTCTGCGCTCCCCCGGGACCCCTGCCGCGTCCCCTCCGCGCCTCTCGGGATCTGCACGGGAGCGGCAGCCTCCGGGCCGGGGCGGGCGGAAGCGGCCGAGAAGCCACGTGTCCCTTGGCGGCTGGCGGAGGGGCCGGCGCGCCCGGTGGCCGCGAGGTGGGCGAGGCGGGGCGGGTGGGCGCCCACCTGGGCTCTCCGGCGCAGAACCCGCGACTCGGATCGGGACCGGACGCGGTCCGTGCCTGCGCGGCTTCTGGGCCCTGACCGGACCTCTCTGCTTGCAGGACCATGGCCAACAGTGAGCGCACCTTCATCGCCATCAAACCGGACGGCGTGCAGCGCGGCCTGGTGGGCGACATCATCAAGCGCTTCGAGCAGAAGGGATTCCGCCTTGTGGCCATGAAGTTTGTTCAGGTAACCAGTCCCCTTCCCCGCTCTCAGTAGCTGTGTCCCGGGTGTTCCATCCTCTCCGCAGCGGTTTGTGCGCACGTCCTTTCCGAGCCGGAGTTCCCTTTGCTAATTTTGACCCCGCGGTTTCACCTCGGGGGCGTTCTGCGGCGGCGCTGCCTTTTCCGAGGCCCGGGTGACAGACGCCCTTGGGAAGGTTAAGAGGAGGGAACGTGACTCCTGCTCCTGAGCCTGGCTTCCTTCTAGTGAGTGCTTGCGTGGGCCCGCCACCCTGCCTGCCCGTCGCAGGGGGCAGCAGGGAGTGAAGAAAGCCTGAACCGCAGACCCCCTTTTCCTGGCCCACGTGGCCCACATATGCATAGGGTTGAGGCTTGGAATCCTTTTGTGCTTTAGCCTGAAAGTTCTAGATCATTGAGGTTTTGGGTAGGGTGTACCTCCTCTGCCCTTTCTTTACAGAATTCCTTTGGCATAGGGTAGTAAATTTTCCAGATTAAATTTGGTGCACAGATCTGGATCCTACATCGAAGGGATAAGTATCTAAATACTGAAATTTTCACCAGGCTGATCAGCAGAGGAGAATGTTTCAGTTAACGTCTGAAAATGTTTGTTTAAAAGGGCATTGCAAGTAGACCAGAGAAGTTTGATACCACTAAGACAGAGGTCCCCAGGCTGGGGAAAATTCCACTGCCTCGATCAGCTTGCTTGGCAGGCCCAGTAGCTTTATATTAAACTCCTGGTTCCTTTGCTTGACACAACTCGCAGCTTTACATTAAAATCCGGTTCCCCTCTCCTTAACTGCTGCCCCAAAACTAGAGGAAATTGGTGGAAACCAGTTTAGGCACCATGTTGACATTCAGGATAACCTTTTAGAGCCCATACATAGTGACTTCCCCGCCTCTGGGTGGAATTTAACTGCCATTTTCTGAACACTTGATGCATGAAGTTGTGTGTAAACCCCTTTGTGCCTGTGTAGTATTATAGAGTGTTGGTAATACAACTTGTATGAACTTCCTACTCGTAAACCCCTTAAAAGTAACCTTCCCCGTCACCCTCGCTGAGCAGTCTTGGTAGCAGCATTCCTGACTGTTCCTTTCCTTGTGCAGTGAAATAAAGGCACCTTTCCATTCTCCTACTTCGGTTTACTGGCTGAGACAAGTCGTGCTGAGCAGGACCTGGGGTTTCCACCTAGCAACATGACCTCTCTGGCATATTTCCTTTCTGTACTTCAATGACAGCCAGTATTTAACTCCCTAAATCTATCTAGATCCTCAAACCACTTACTTTTTAGGATTATAAAATCCATAACGTCATTCACATTATGAGGCTGTCTTTATGGTCTGCTAGAATAGCATCAGTCTCATGGTTTGGATGGGATTTTTTCATACACACCGTAAGAATGTGGACTAAAAATTTGTAACCAGACTTTTAGAGAACCTACCATGTTAGTAAGGGGTTCTGAGGATGGGAGGAGCAGTGTTTGAGCCTTTTTGGCTTATTTTCTAATTGGTACCTCGTCTTCAATGCCAGGCCTCCGAGGAACACTTGAAGCAGCATTACATTGATCTGAAAGACCGCCCGTTCTTCCCTGGGCTGGTGAAGTACATGAACTCCGGACCAGTTGTGGCCATGGTGAGTGCCTGTGGGGTATGAGCGGGAACCAAGGTATATAAGGGCTGATATGTGACTGGTTTGGCTCAGTGCCTGCTTGTTCTGTTGTCTTTTTAGACTTCTTTCCCACTTCCAAAGTCCATATTTTACAATTGGAGCTTTTTGGGGTTAGTTGTGAGTTGGAATTGACTCAACAGCAACGGGTTTGGCTTTAGTTAAGGATCCCTTGGTGCCGCAGTGGTTAAAGCGCTTGGCTGCTAATCAGAAGGTCTTCAGTTTTAACCCATCAGCTGCTCCATGGGAGAAAGATGTGGCAATCTGCTTCCTTAAAGATTTACAGCCTTGGGCACCCTGCAGGGCAGTTCTACTCTGTCCTATAGGGTCGACTTGACAGCCATGGGTTTGGTTGGGGGTTGGGGTTAGTTAACAGAGCAACTATGAGTTTGGGAGGAGAAAGAAAAGGAAATCAGACCTTAGCAAAATAAGCTAAGGATACTTGAAGTCGGAATTGACTCAATAGCAACTAACAAGGTCCTTAGTATCTCTTGGGGGGGTTGAAATCAAGAGTCTACAAAAAAAGTGCTGACTTGCTTCAGTGTTAAATTGCCTCAGTTGTTTGACAGGCATTTTAGACTAACATTTTCTGGATTAAAGAAATATTTTTTTAAAAATATTTTCTCATGAAAAATTCCAACAGTATATAAATACAGGAAGCAAAAGTTCTCTGTAATCCTGTTTCTTCTATTTCTTCTTGTGGCCTTAATGTCCAATTGGAAGCAAATAGTAGAGGGTATAAGGAGGCAGTGAAATTGTTTAAAATTTAGAGAAATTAAACCTTTTTGTTCCCTATGATTTTTTTTCTTCCTTCTGCTCTTTTCTGGAATACACTTTGCCCTTTGATGACAATCTTTCCTATCTCTTGCTCTGACAGTCTTCTGGAAAGCCCTTCCCACTGATGTCATTCTAGTCAGATCACTTTTCTACTCCATCACTATTTCTTCTCAGTGTTTGTGGCTGCGTAAGGATTCTTCAGTCTTCTTGTTTATGTCCATCTCTGCTAGACTGGGAAATCTCTAAGTTGGGCAGACTTTGTCCTCCGTGCACTAGCAATACACTCTCAATGGAGCTTTTTATATAAGCCCCTACTGTCTACTGTGGTTGACTAATGTGTCACTGATTGATCTAATTGATTTGATGTTGGTTAGGAGTAAATGTTTGTCCCTAGTGGTCCTGGATGGCAGATCTGATGCAATTCCTTTTCTCTACTGTCAAGGTCTGGGAGGGGCTGAATGTGGTGAAGACAGGTCGAGTGATGCTTGGGGAGACCAATCCAGCTGATTCTAAGCCAGGCACCATTCGTGGGGATTTCTGTATCCAAGTTGGCAGGTGAGTCCTGGGGGTGGGAGGGGATTGGATCACTTTTTATCCAAGCTGTTTAAATAGGGGTGTAAAAGCAAACATTTTTGGCACATCTCAATTTTAGAAAAATTTGTGATTAGGTGTTAATTATCATTGGATAAAGGCTTTCTCAAATAGCTACTTCCCTAGGCTACTTAAAATTTTAACCAAGACACTGGACAAGGTTGCTGTGTGTGGTGGATCCTGTGTGGCACAGCAGAAAGTTCCGGGTGCGGGGGAAAGGGTTCTAGCTTTGGCTCTGCCCTTTTTGGCTCTATGGATGTGTCACTTAACCTCTTGGTTCCTTCATCTATACAAAAAGGAGATAATGGCCCAGCTAACTGATGCAGTGGTTAAGTGTTTGGCTGCTAACCAAATGGTTGGGCAGTTGGAATTCACCAGCTGCTCCTTGGAAACCCTGCCAGGCAGTTCTACTCTGTTGTATAGGGACGCTGTGAGTCAGAATCGACTCTATGGCAATGGGTTTGGTATTTGGTTAACTTTAGACAGTTATGAGACTCAAATGGAATAAAATGTGAAAAGCACTTAAAGAGATTGTTGTTAATAAGCATGTACTTCCTGGTTGGGCTGTGTTAGTCAGTGTTGTACAGAAATCCAGTAGAAACGACCCTTGATAGTGAATACATCACATCTAGTTAGGGCTTTAGGCTGGGGTAGGTTTGGCTATTCCTACATTCTTCAAAATTTGAGAAGGAATATTTTTGGCATCAGCAGTCTTGGGGTACAGCTGCTGTTTTGAGGGGAAGACTTGGAAGCACAATAAAGTTGAACCAGGGATGTTTTTAAATCAAGCACTTAGTTTCATAGTTGCTTTTAAGAAGAAATACTTTGGGGGTTAATTTGTCTGCTGCTTGAAGCGTCAGTTTGGCTGAAAAGGTCTGCAGTGTCTGTCCCTTGTTTTACCCATTAAACAGACGTTTATACTTTAAAATATGGTTAACTAGTAACTTTTCTTTCTTAGGAACATCGTTCATGGCAGTGATTCAGTAAAAAGTGCTGAGAAAGAAATCAATCTGTGGTTTAAGCCAGAAGAACTGATTGACTACAAGCCTTGTGCCCATGACTGGGTCTATGAATGAGGTGGACAGAGCAGCAGTCTCCTCCCCTTTGACACTGCTTGATGTGCCCCTACACACAGCTCTGCATTCCACAGACTTGGAAGCAGTAGGATTCAGGATTCTTTTCTAAAGTACATTACCAATAAAGACTCGTAACTGGGTACCATCTCTTGTGCTTACTTGATACTGAGCTAAAAGAGGTGACTTGGTTCTCTGGCTATAGTAGTACTATGTAGAGCTAATTAATCCTGTTTTATCATGGAAGAATAGAGCCCTGGTGTACAGTGGGTAAGCACTCGGCTGCTAACCAAAAGGCTGACAGTTCGAACGAACTAGCTGCTCCATACAAGAAAGATGTGGCAGTTCCACTCTACTGGGTAGCTGCAAGTTGGAATCGACTGAACGGCAATGGGTTTGACTTTCTGAATGGTGGGAGACTGATCTGATGATATTCTCAGTGTCTTCATATACTTCAAGACAGAGAAAGTAAGCAGAGACTGCTGCAGAGGACAAGGGGTGTGCCAGTTGTTTATCTATGAAAACTAATAAGGAAATCTCAACCACTTCAGCTAACATGATAATGTTTATTTCTGTAGGAAGGATTTGTTGGCACTTAATAGAAAATATAGACTAATCAAGTGGTCCAGATTTACATCTATTTGTGCAAATTGGGAAATTTACTTACAAGGAAATGGAGGCCTAAAGACATCTATAAATGAGGATACCACCTACCATTATAAGGCAGAATGAAATGAAGTAACGTACATAGTTAACCTAGTGCCTGGCCTATAGCTGGTGGTCTAATATTCCTGCACTCCCACCCCCTTTCTTACTCTTCACTTGGAGGAGATGTTATGCCTATTTTTCCTGGGTTATAAGCTGTGTGTTTTTACTCCCTGCTTTTATGGTTAATTTTGTTGGGTTGGCAGAGTAATGCCAAATAGCAACTATCCATACAAATAGATAATATCACTATCATCTGGGGTGTGGCTTAAAAATTACACAAGTACATGAATGTATGAATAGTTTTCTGCTAAAATGGTGAAAGCTAAATGTCACTCCCAGATAAAAGATTTGGTACTCAATTTTTTATGTATATGGTTACACTAAATATAAGACAATGACACAAGAATTGACAACTTACTACAAAAAACAAGTCAGCATTTTAGTTTCAAGTCATCCATTGGCAAAAACTTTAACATTTCTAAATTATTTTTCAATTTCAAATTTAATTCGTGTATGTTTATGAATGCTATGTGCTTTCAACACAGTTAAGTAGTAATGAAGTTTGATTGTTAGATTCTGGGGATCTGCGATTTTAACGTGCTGCCACACTTTCTTATCCACACTGACTGAGGTCCTTGGATTAGCAGCAGCACAGTTAAGTACAGGCTTACTCTGTCAGGGCTGTTCAAAGAATTTAGGAGGTTGGCCTAGTATCCCCATTTTACAAGGGAGGAAACTGAGCCAAGTTACATAACTAGCAAGTGAAGGACCCTGGTTCTGGCCTGAGCAGCTCTGCTCTTTATATAGTTTCCTAAGTGACGCAAGGAAGTCCTGAGTTTGGAGGGTAAGCAAAGTCAAAACTGAAACAGTGACAGCTGAGGGGAAGGCCTTGGATATTACAATTTAATTTGGTGGAACGGAATGAGAAAGGAGACTATGGTGAGATGGAAAGTACCTGCTCCTGGAGTAAGGCTGGGTTTAGGACCTAATCCTATACAGCTGGGTGTGTGAAAGTGGACAATTCATTCAGAACCCTTTATATGCTCTTCATTAAAACTTAAGCTGCATTACTTTTACATTATCTGGTCATAATGTGGGCAAGCCCTATTTTGGCCTGCTCTTGGGGCATGGAATTCCTAACAGGCCAAAAAGGATACCCAAACTTCAGTAAAAAAGACTATAAAAAGGAAATGGTTTAACTGCTGTCCCTGTCTCACAAGGCTGGAAAAACAACACAGTGCTAGAAGAGTTGTTTTGGGGAAAACTCTTGTTAATCTCAGAACACGTTCTGGGCGTAAAGCATACCAGGAAACCAGTTTCCCAAGAGGCATGTAATAGTTTAAAGAAGAAAACATGTATCGAGGCTCAGGGGATATTAAATGAGAGCCAACCTGGGAATTACTAGTAGAGCAATTATGAGGAGTCCTGGTGGTGCAGTGGTTAAAGTGCTTGGCTGCTAACTGAAAGGTCTACAGTTCAAACCCACCAGCTGCTCCATGGGAGAAAGCTGTGGCAGTCTGATTCTGGAAAGATTTACAGCTTTGGAAACCCTATGGGGCAGCTCTACTGAGTCGGAACTGACTCGACTGCAATGGGTTTGGTTTTTTTGGTATATAGCAATTGTTCAGCCATCTATGATAGAAAGCAGAGTAGAAACTATTTTCTACTTTCGTTTTACTTGAAATGTGTTATATTTTTCTAAAGTGTGAAATTACAACCCCTGAAGAGACCCAATCCATCTCATGTACTATCTTACATGCCTAAAATTCTCTACAAATTTCTTTTGCAGTAAAAAGTAAATAATTTTCCAAAAAATCAGCTGGTGGTAAAGGAAGGTTTCTTTGCATTCACTTTTAATGTAGATAACAAGAGCTAGCTGGGATAATTTATCTACATCCTATGAACTTTGCTGTTGAGGTTAATGGAGTTTAAAAAAAAAAAAAGTATTTACAAATCAGCATGCCAACCCTGAAACATGATGTTCTAGCTAAGGTGATTTAATTTCCTCATAAATGGTCCACATTCACCTCTGCTTCTGCTGTTGTTGCCTTTTCCCTCTGGCCGCACCTTTCTGTGAAATCCCAGTTCAAATGCAACCTTGTCCACCATAACCATGACCCTGACTCATGGTGACGCCACATGTCAAGAGTAAAATTATACTCCATAGGGTACACTGAAAAATGGCTGATTTTTCACTAGTAGATCACTAAAGAGCCCTGGTGGCGTAATGGTTAAGAGCTCAGGCTGCTAACCAAAACGTCAGTAGTTTGAATCCACCAGCTGCTTCTTAGAAACCCTATGGGGCAGTTCTCCTCTGTTCAAGAGGGTCACTATAGTCAGAATTGACTTGATGGCAATAGTTCTTTTTTTTTAAGGTCACCAACCTTTCTTCCAAGGTACCTCTGGTTGGACTCGAACCTCCAACTCTTTGGTTAGCAGCTGAATGTGTTAACTGTCTGCACCACCCTAGGACTCCTCTTGTCTACAGGTCTACCTATGTTCTCTTCCTCCCTTGCCAGCTAGAAGTGAACTCTTCCTCTGCTAGACTACAAGACTATAAGATTAGGTGGAAAGCTGAATTTTGGGCAGCACTCCTGTGCTTGCTTTATGTTATCAGAGCACACGGAGGAAGCTGCTGATCTCACTTTCACAGGGTCTCTGGCTGCTTACAGAAGGCACTCAATATTTTGAATACCCCCCCCAAAAATTAAAGAATCGCTCAAATACAACTTAACTTTGACATTTTATTTTGTGTAAAAAAGGGCAAATTTAGTGAATTATTTTCATCTTGTACACAAAGTTATAATTTTAATGCTTTTCACATCCATGCTGAAAATTTGCAATTTGGTAAAAATGAAAGGAACATAAATTTCTCTGAAGGAATTTTTCACGCCATTATATACATTTCATGAGAAAGTTTTAAACACTTTCTCAGTGATCACAAGTTACCAAGAAAATAAAAGATTAAATTTGTACAGATAACTGATCTATATATCAAATACATACAGAAATGATGTAAAAACCTTATGCAGTTTACTTTGACCTCTGTCCTCAAAAGATGTGCCCAGGGACAGATGCTTTTCTTTTGTATAAATGACTGTGGCTTTATTTAAAATATGAAAATCAAAGGAAGAAACCCAGTTTAATCACAGTATTTTTAAAATCCCTCCCCAATATTAAAGGATCATTACCAAATATATAGCACCATAATACAAATATTGACGGGAGAGGGTATTCACATCACGCAAAATTAATAATAATAAAAACAAACAAACACTGAAAACCCGTGTTAGTATCCGTAGAATAAGAAGGTGATAACAGCTTTAGCTTTCCTCATACACGGCAAGGAAAAGGTTAAAGAGTTTAAACTACCAAAAGTCCCCAAATAATTCTAACAAGAAAAAAATAAAAACAAACCCAAGGTCAGCAGTACATTTTGAACTGTAAAAGAGAACAGGGGCCATTGAATTATACGATTTGAGTTATGGCTAAGACATAAATCTCCTCTGCATTAACTTACTTTCTGTTTATTAGCAGTAGGAGTTAGAGCCTGAAAAAATGAAGAGGGCTTCAGACTGTGTTTAGACTGTAGAAAGTCCTTACTAACTTTTAACTGCTGGTCACGGGATCAAGACAAGAAACACTTCTTGAGTGGGTACGAAATTCTAAAACACTCAGCCTGGTTTTGCTGTAGAATTGGAAGCTTATATAACCTGGCTACAAATGAGCATTTCACAGAACTAATCACCAGGACTGACTGGCTCCAAATCATACCCCTCTTGGTTTATTCAGTGCCCCCTAGAGCCCTTAACCCCAAGGCGTTGGTAGGGTTAGCCATACAATTGGCTTCTTGTGCCCGTATCATGGAACCAGAGTCCTGGGTTTAATTCACTGAGCCTGAGAATAAAGATTGCTGTAACCCTTGCTTTGGAGGTCTTCTAGGCTTTAAGTTTATGGGAAGATTCTTAAAAGTTAAAGATTTGGGAAGTGTGAGGATGTCACATTTACAGTAGGTCCCTCTCAGCAATGTTGTTTAAATATCCAGTAATCGAACAGCTGAATTCACATACATTTGACACGAGAATCAACTTGCGCTGATATGATCTGCATTTATGCCCCCTAAAGTCAGTATTAAGAAATGTTGACATGCAATTCCATACATTCTTACACTATAAAGTAACAAATTTTACTTCCAGTAGCAACTACAAAACCTTATGTTATTAACCCCTCTTGCATAGAATGAGGTAAACCTGTGTGTATTACCAATGCTATTATACCCAAAAGTAGAGCAATATTTTAGAAAATAAATTGCTGGTTTTTTAACTTCTATGCATTTTAAAATTCAAACAAAAATCTTACCTAAAATGGTCTCCTGGGGCTTTCCATTAACATTTTTTTAAAGCATTCCATAGACTGAAGGACTGTAGAGGTTAATCATTTTGATTAATTTCTAATTAGCCCTACCTATATTCCAGAGAAGATGGTCAATATTACCACTCTGAAGAGGCCAGGCTAAGACCCAGAAGCACTTCTAGAACAGATGCAATTAATTCCTGAGAGTTTAGTTTATGAACCTCACTGGTAAACGCTAGAGCTCTCTTATTCAGTCACAGCTCAGTAGAAAGTCAGAAGATGCAGAGAGCAAACCTTTCACCAATTTACCCTTGTGTATCCTTTTTTGAAGGAAGCTATATGAATTTTTAAATAGGGAACGTTTAAAACAGTCCAAATCAGCTATTCTTTTTTAAATTCTGAATACAGTTTAAGACAGTTTCTATTATATATATGGACTTTTAAGAAAATTAAATTCTTTTTCAAATTGGTTTTCTAACAAAATCCAGGATAAAGCAGAGCTGGAATGATCTTGAAATCTAAACTTATTTTGGCCTTAAACAGCTTTTAGTTTGATTTTCCTGGTAATACAGAATATCTGTTTTGGGGTGTGGTTATACCAAGTATTATCACACAGATAGGGAAAAATGGCAGAGAACTGATCAGAATCCCTTATGGGGAGTATATTTCAGTAAGAAAAATAAAATAAACTTTCGACAATATTGCATTTTCCCCAACCCCTCAACATGTAGACTGAGATACTGTATATTTTATCAACCATTCCAGTTTAACACTTTAGTGTTAGGATAATTTTAATCTTTTTTTTTTTTTTTTTTTTAATTAAAAGAGAACATATAAAAGTATCAAGAGTTCTTCCAGTTCCATACAGAACTCCAAATAATTTTTCACAGGATGAAAAAAATTTTTGTACAAACATTTAAAACGGGCTGCAATAAAATGCTAATAAGCAGAATTAATTACCCCTTCCATGATCTATGTGGTGATGAACCCACCATGAGGGGTTCAGTTGCATATTTCTGCAGCAAAGGAAGCTGGAGATGTGACTGGCCTAACTTCTAATATCCCAAAATCTCCCAACAGGTACCAAAAAGGTTCATTTGTAACAACAGTTCATTTGCATTTACACCTATATCCTTCTTAATTCATTTCCTTCAATCCTGCTACCTAAACTTTAGTCTTACCAAAAAATTAGAATTTCAGTTCTTGTTAACAATGCACATAAATCCAAACTTGGAAAATATTACAAAATTCTTTCAAAAGCTTCAAATACAACACAAAAATTGTCCATCTTTATAAATTGAAAAATTTCCCCCCAGACTAAAATAGTTTCCCCACCCACCTGAAAAATCTGGAACTGAAATTTTCTATGTTTAGCAAAATGTCCCAGTAGAACAGCTCTGCTGTACAACTGGACTGATGATAAATCAGTCCCGTGTAAAATGCCTCCCCTCCTGCCCTCGGTTTCTGAGCTGCCTCATGGCTCTTGTTTGATGTAGAAGTTGGCAGAGCCATTGCTTTCCTGATCAGATGCTCCTTGGAGAAAATTATAATCCTCTCCATCTAGCAACTCCTCCTTCAGCTGCAGTGTAGTCACTGTATGAAAGACAGATAAAAACGCAGAGTGTCATTAAGCCTTTCTGGAATATTCAGAGTGCCTTTTATCTTCATGTTCCACTAGCTTTATCATTAATAAGACTTTAGTAAGTCTTAATAAGCCTTAATAATAATAATACTAAGTCTTAATACAACTTCAAAAACTCTTTAAAATTAAAACTCTGAAGCATAAGCATTCAATCGATTTTAGTTTTCAAAGTGTATTAACAGCTAATTAAGGTATGTTCTAAAAAAGGAACAATACTGCATATTATTCACTGGACATTTTCAATAGAATGCTCAAAATAATAGAGCTTACTAATTTGACTACATTAATTAGAATTTTTCTCATGATTAAGTATTCACTTTTCTGTCAATGTCTAGTACAATGACATACTTCTTACACGGTTCTGAACGACAATATTAAGTAGCAACCCAATAAATATGACTTTAATATAATCTTATTATTCCCAAGGAGTAACTTTATTAAAGAGTCCCTGCAGGAAAATATGAGTACTAAAAACTAAAATCAAGGAAAAGCTGAGTAATCATTTTAGTTAAAAAAAAAAAAAAATTGTTCATACCAGCAATATGAGAATCATTGGTGCAAAACTGTTAACATTACCAATGGGATCACTTAGCAGTCTGCCTGTCTGAGTTCTTATCTGATGATTTGCTTTTCAATTAAACAGCATAGGCAGTCCTCGATTTACCAATAGGTCAGGTTTTTATTTCTATGGAAAACAGTTTTTCGGTTTTCAATCGTTTAAGCGGGTTTAGGCTCTGGATAGCCACAGAGGTCTACTCGATCTACAATGTAGCTGTTATGCTAGTTAGAATGTATAGTGACAGCAGGGCTCTTACGGTACATGGGCAAGGATGAAGAGAAGAGAAAGAAAATTTCTTCTACCTTTTCATGGGCCCAGCCTTGGTCCTAGGCAAAAATTTCAGGCTAAGGTTAACTATGAAATTTTCCTATTACCTTTTATAAACCCCTCTTTATGTGTTACTGCTCCTCAACACCATTACCCAGTAGTTTTAGATTGTTCAAAATCATTCCCCTGAAGCCTACTTTATCTCCTACAGAGCTCCTCCCTTCAAAAAATTACTTCTCTACTTTGCTCTAATAAATATGCTCATTCCCTCTTCTGTGCAGCTGAGCTCAGCTAGGTGTTAAGGACTAGCCTCAATAACTACTGATCTCTCGTAGATGCTCAGGTTTAAAAAAAATTACTGTTTAATCAAAATGGAACTGGTAAAGTTTCAAATAATTTAAAAAAAGGTGAGCTAGTCCTGTGTGCTAACAGTCATTGGAATCTAGTCCCACAGCAAACATTGTGAACTTCTTCTTCCAACTTCTTCAGCACACATAGGTCCGCTAATCAGAGGTCACAAACTGTGCTCCTCCAGACCCTTGCCTGTACCCTATGGTTCTTAAGTTTGAATAAAATATTCTGAAACAAGACATTTCATATAAAAATCTGAAAAGTACAGAGGCGTTGGCAACATGAGACTAACACTCTTGAGTGGCTATGATTAGCCTGAGATCTCCATCTTACCCAGTGCTCACCACAGCAACAACGTGGGAGTCACACTCACACTGGCCAGCCTCACTCACTGAGGCTACCTGCCTGGTCCCTGCAGGCACCTGGCTCCAAATAAAGGCTCAAAATTGTTTTTTTTCCCCCTTCCATTATGGATCCTTTTAGTACAACTGAGATGAGAGAATGCATATATATGGAATGTAAACTGGGAACTGCTCATACTGGGAAAAAAATCAATTTATAAGGAGAATTAGCACTCAAGAGTATTTAGATGAGTCGTAAGCCAATTAAGTTTTTCATGAAGAAATAACTGTCATCATGTGGAACAATATTCAAATGACTGTAGTTTTAATGTCAAACAGTATAGTCACAGAAAAATACTTTGTCTTTAATTATAAAAAATTAGTTTAAAAAATAATGTTCCTTGGCATCTTATTTACTTTACTATTTAAGGAATCATCTTTGAAAAGGTGCAAATTTATTTTATTTTACTTTGGTACTTGTTGTGAAAAATTTAATAGCCCAAAGACTGAAAAGTGAATACATTATATGCCTACATTAAAAACAGCAAAGTGACTCTCAAATCAGATTGTTGAAACTAAAGCCAACAAGACCATGCAGTTCCTCCTTTCTTTAAAAAGCTACTTAATATAAATAAACTGCTTTCATGGAGAATAAAATGTATGACACTTATCCTTCAAATCTAACCAACATGCATTAATAAAGTGTTTGGGACACTGTAATGATGCCATGAAAATAAACACAAGAAAAACAAAACAAAACACAAGTTTCATTAAAGGTGCAGTACCCACAATAAAAGGTTGATTAAAACGTATCTTGTTATATGATGACCAGATGACTAAATGAATGAAAAAGAATTACCGTGCTTCAAGATCTGAACACGTTGCATTCAAACCAATGTTTTTTTAAAACTCAAATGTAAGTTTGAGATTCTAAAGCACACTCTGAAGCTATATGCATTTACTGCTAACAACAAATCTCTGGATTATGCTTCTACTCATGTTGAAACATGGAAGTAATGTGCTTAAAATAAAGTCACTCAAGATACAGGTGAAACATTCACTCAGATGTGGTATGTTTTAATGTGAATTTTCATTGTCTTCATGGAACCTAAAATAAAGCCTGTCTGGTATCTCCACACTAATCACTTCTCCTTTCCAAGTCTAATTACCAGTGAATGACAGATTAGACAGAATAGGTTCTGTGGCTGAATGTCACTTTCTATACATATACATTTTCTTAGCTCCCCTTTTCAAAGGGAGGCACTTTGACTCTAATCACGAATACTTCAGGAGATAAATCAACCAAAATCATATTTTCCCAGCTAGAAAGCCCAGAAATAATAAACTCTAAACAACTAAGCAAAGCGTAGCTTTCGGATAGCTAAGGTAGCAATGTAGTCTCCACGTAGTTTCCCCAAAATGAGATCACATCAAGTCCTACAAATGTGCCCCTAGCTCCAAAGACACTACAGACAATGGAGGAAGAAAGAAGCCCGCTTAGGAGGCCACACGATTTCCATTCAGTACATTTACTTAGTTCTTGGGTTTTGCCGATCCCAGAAGCCAACTTTTGTTTCCCGTGACGATCAGTAACCTCTCACAAAATGCAACACGTATCTCCAAAATCAGTCTAATGCTTAAAGAAAATAACATCCAAAATCCAACAAAAATTCAAATACATTCAGGGCCCACATTAACCACAGTTGATTACTTAAGGTAAAAGGAGAGTATTTCATAAATAACAACTGCAAAAAGAAAAAGTTAAGGCAAATATACTAACAAGAAATGAAACTAGAATGCACTTTAGATAGACTTCTCCATTAAAGAACAGACAACACTGGCTTTTCAGTCCTAATATGTTCTTCATACAAAGCAGGTATCATAATTTCCTCTAGATGAAAGGGTATTAGAGTGATCTTCAGAAAAACAGGATGGGAGGAATGAAGACGACCTAATACGCTGTTAGGGAGGCAGAAGCTAAATAACACATCCTAAAATGGCAAAAAAGGCTAATGATAACTTCAGGTGCAAACATACTAGCAAACAGAGGGAGGACAAGAAAACACAACTAGCTACTAAGTCCCATCTAGGCTTTCAACACACAAAACACATTTTAAAAAAGGCTGATTATAGAAACCATTTAGTTTAAAAGCAGTATTTAGGATATGGCAGAATATATACCAAGGCAGATACAACTCTGGCTTTGAAGCTACTGGCTTTCTATGCAAGTCTAAATTTCATCATACTCAAGTGAAACCTTTCTGAGACAGCCTATGATAACACCACATTTGTTGTTAGCAATTACAAAGCAGAATCACCCAAGCTTCTTTAAAATCTACTACCTTGGCCTAACCAATTAAGCGCAAATTAAATGTCATTTACCTGATTAGCCACTGTACATACATAAACGTGAAATTATGGAAATAGATTTCACTCACATTTAACACCGAAATTTATACAGGTTATCATATTTCCAAGTCCACAATGTTCAACTAAGATCTTGGTACATGCTACTACCAGAGCCAAACTTACAATGGAATTCAAACACATCCTTTCCAATGAACGGGTCACCAAGGAACGCTGTGAACCTTTGTCAATGCCTCATCTTTCAATCTCATTAACCAGATCAATCCCCAGTGACATATTTCTCTGCCAGATCAAGTAACATAGTGGAATTCTATGACGCAAGATGTTCAACCGTTTTTAATGAAACCATGAAATATTCCCTCTAAGTTGTCTCACAATTCCATAAATTGGAACTGTACCTTTACCCTAATTCGAAGCTCAGAAGTAGTTTTATATCAAAATAAAAGTCCTTCTCTGATGAGTCATCTAGTGAAGTGACTATCAAGGACTACTGAAAATGAATTTTTTAGTTGAAAGAAAAAGAAAAATTTAATGAGTCAGCATCTGTCATGCCAGACCATGCTTTGTCTCCCACCACCCTACCCAGCACTTTCACCCTCTGTAGTACCTGAGGTGCTGATGTGACTAGTTACCTGTTTTGAGGCTGGGACTGAACTCCCGGCTAGTGCTGGGAGGTGGGAAGGCCTCCGGGGCCGTCTGTGCTGGAAGGGTTCGATATGGAGGAGGAGTCAACTCTTCGTCACCAGAGAAGCTCCTCCGCACCCCACCTGTCATGGGCAGGCTCGACAAACTGATAGGCTTCTTCCCAACTGGAATCTTCCTCTCTAAATATCAAGTCAGACTAAAGTAAGCTTTTACTTACATGCGTGGTAAGAAAACTGCATTATATAACTAGGAAAGGTTGTGTTGCATAGGACACTCTGAAAAGAGAACCAACTATGCAGGGTTTGTACTTCTGAAAACAAAGGAGTGTGTGTGTGTGCAGGGCGTGGGGTGATGGAGATTATTTTCACTCTCTGAGAGGCTGGTAATCCTGGTCCTGACTCTCAAACAATTTAAAACAAAACCAAAATGACCTACAGAGAGCGTTTCGTGTGGAGAATAGCTGGTTTACTTCCTTCGAAAAAAACCTGCAGAGACTCAACTTGAGGGGTGAAGAACCCAATGGAAGAGAGAGAGAGTCTCAAAACCCTAATTTTAGGTTAGCATCTTACTGCCCACATAAGCCCAAACAATTGGCCTTCAAGGAGAAATCAAGGTTCAATAGTTTAAATGTATTATCTGGGTAGCAGGATTTTACTGATATTAATGTGCTTCCCCTAACTTTTGGTTTAAATTCCACTCTTTCAGAAAACACTTACTGTACTTTTACGCAAATAACGCGCACATTATATTTTTTGCCAACCATGCTATGCCAGAATTGTTTTACTTAATTTCATCATTTCTGTGCTTTATATGTGTGGGTGCGTTATTTACATGGGCGCATTATTTGCAAAAAATATGGTATAATTCTTAATCTGAAAAGCACTTCTAAAATTTAAAGCTTGTTGCCTATAACTTCTTAAGCAATCTAATTTTTTTTGAAACAAAACTCTCACTCTCTATGGTTACAGTTTATAAGCAAACATAACCTTCAATGCTTTCACCACCAACAAGAAAATAATCTGCACTTCTGCCACAATCATATCCAAATATGGAACCACCAAGCATGTTGCACTAATCAGGTTGAAAGCTGAGAGATGCTTACATATCTTTGTGATTATAAATTGTCTGTTTCCTTTCAGAGTGTATAATGACCCAGGCCAAGACCAATCACAAATTGTGCTTCCCATAATCAGGACTAAAGATAAATCTAACCAGACAGCATCCCTATGTATAATGATCTGGAAACTAATCTATTTGTGAGTACACGTGAATTCTCCACTGCCAAACTCAGATCACGTGCAGCAGTCACTTAGCCTTTCCTACTGTGCTACGCAAGGAGAATATCCAACCTTCTACTACTCACAGTAGCCCCTGAAAACAATATAGAAAACTATGTCACAAATTAGTGCCGATTTTCCTGCTCTAAAATTACTACAGCTTGAGAAAAAGAGGCTTTCAAGATTGGACAGATGCTGTATGGGCAACAGTCTGTATGATCCTCTTGGCAGAACATTACTGTTGTTCTCAAAGTCACTAGTTAATAGCTATCCCTTGATAACATAAACACATCTCATTAGAAAACAAGCTAGAACAATAAAACCATCCAACTGCCTATTTCTGTAAAAAATGAGCACTACCAAAGAACATAAGGATGGATGATCTTAAGTACAAAAAGACCAAAGAGCTACGAGATGAAACAAAAGAGTCAGAATGTAATAATCTGCAGGCAAACTTAAAAATAATTAAAATGTTTTGTGACCCATCTGCTATTGACAAAAATCTGCTCGCACTGGACTTAGGTTTCTGGACCCCACACTCTTTCTCATTTTGGTAATTAAAATTCTGTGGGGAACATTTATAATAAACTCCCTGCTGAGTAATATAAAAATTAAAAGGAGCAGATAGCAAGCACCCTTACAATGAAGACTGCTTCTTCTTAATATAGCCCAATTCCTTATCCTCAAGTCCAAAATTCAACAAGTCTTTTCATACAACCTTCGTAACAAAACCTGACCTTATTTGGTGATGCTATTTATAATCTATATTTGACCTATTTAATGTAAAATTTTATATACATTTTGCTTCAGAAAATGCTCCAGAGTCTGCAAGCGGTATTACATAATATATGCTATACACACTGAATGATTTTTCTAAAATTCAAAAAATTCTGAATTCTAAAACACATCTGGCCCCAAGGGTTTTGAATGAGGGATTGTGCGTCTGTAGTTCTTTTCCTTTCTACGTCCAAAGGACAATTTAAAGGCATCAGACATGATGTCATAATATTAATAGATATTAAGATGTCACAGTTAAAGAATATGCTAAACTCATTTTTCCAGCTGATCTAGAGATCTGGTAATGATAAATATCACTAAAAACTGGAGTACTTGACATTGCCACTTCATTAATTACATAGTTCTTCGTATTTCCCTAGCCCGTTAGTTCAAAATCATTAAACCCATAAACTAGAGACAAACCCTGCAAGAGTCATACTGAAGGAGCATGTGAACTGCGTACACAACACTCAGAAACTGGTTCTAAAATGTATACTTCATGCAGCCACTGAGCAGTACAAAGTATTCTTAATTCTATGTCTTGGAAAGAAAATTCTGAAATCTCAAAGTCTTGTAAAACAAAGTGAAAGGGTAAGCTGAAGCAGCCTGTGTTATTCAACCTTACAGGAAGCTTTGAGATTCCATCTGCTATGGTAAGTTCCTTCATATAGTCATTTGAATTCTTCCTCATATTTCCAGGTAAATGGGGTAATTAAGCATTTTGAATCTGCCTGGTCTGGCAATGCTCTCTAAAGTTCTTTTAGGCCAATGTCAGACCTGGCAAGTAGCTGGTGGGCAAAATAATTCTGAGACTATGGGAGGCTTGTGCCTGAAATATAAAAGGGCAAGAGAGAGACCTGTGGGTTACCATCCCTGTGAGGCTGACTTGGATTTCATGCTTAGGAGGAAACTTGTTTTTCCAAAGCATCACTGTAGTGGCTGGTAAAAGTTTTTCAAGTTCCCCACTTCAAAAACTATAAACATACATATGATCATAATCAGAAAGATGTGAATAGGGTAAAACTGTTTCTCTTGCTGCTTCAGTCTCCTGGTTGTTAATGAGACAGATCAGCACTTATCTGGACATATGGCAAGTCCGGTGGAAATATCTATTTCAGTTTTAATCCTCAAATGTACTTGTCACTTTAAAAAATATCTTTTAAATAAAAATAACCTTATCTCGGAATGAAATATTCCAATGACAAGTTTCATGAAGAGAAAAACCTGTGGCTTTCTAAGGTGGAGAAAAAAGATTTTTAAAGAATGAAATATAGCTATAAATATATTTAATATTACTTTGGCTATTAGTGCCAACAATCGTTCCTTATAAGGTAAAATATGGTATAGAAAGGAAATTTAGAAAATTTTGCTTAAGTCTTTGTTAGCCATCAACCTGGGTTTCTTACGAGTATCATTCTAGAGAGAGAGATCTGGTTTATAGAAAGGATGGGTTTATTAGGCTCCAAGGCTTTTGTAAGCATTAAACATCTGTTTTTAACAAAAGGGGAAAAAAGAAAAAGGATTAACCTTTGGTAGGTTTACATAGTATTCCAAGAATCATTCATAGACTCTATTCTTTACCATGTAGGTTCTAAAAACCATGGTACTCATTTTTCCTGTCAATCAAAATATAGATGTTTCTCATTATTGAAAAGGTTTGCCTTTTATGGCATACTGCACCTTTAAGCATAATACATAATTCACAGTCATCACTTCTAACAAGGGATATCATTTTCTGTGCAAGAATACCATGACCCCAACTGGTTAACAATTAGGAAATGTATGTAAACACCACGTGGTGACCCACTTTTCTTATGTCCTTTGTATTGCTGGGACTTAGCCTTTTTCTTCTGTTTTGATGAACCTGACTGGCTTTCTCTTGATGCTGCAAAATAAAATGAAAAAATTGGTACCAGATCATCATTTACAACTCTAGACACAACTTAGATGTAGTATCTTTACCAAGACCATTATGCTTATATAGATATGTGATGCTCTGAAAATAAGGGTGCCCATTCCCGTAAAACCATGAGCCTCAACACTAGACAAATTCCATTAACAAGCATTTATAACATACCAATAAAATTTTAGCCTGTAATTTTAAACTCACTAAAATAGTAAGACTAGTTAAATTTGGTGAGTGCTTTTACTATTGTGTTTCTATAGTCATTATGTAACTGACTATTGAGTTCAGTCTGCCATGGTACACAGTCTGATTCTGTCATGTTGTTGAGTCTTAATATCTTACCTGGCAACCAATCAGACATACGTATATTCTTGTCCTGTGAGCTCACAAGACGACTTATGTGAGATAGTCCTCTGGAAAACTGCTGATTTTTATAAAAGGACACCTTTTCTGTGTACCAACTTACACTGTGATGCTGGAGGCTGTAGCTGATATCCAGTTAATTGACACCACCCTACAGGATAGAGGTCAGGGGACTCACAGTCTACCCACTGATCATACTCTTCTTCCCATCCATCAAAATGTATCCTCAAGAGACGGTGAATAATTCGAGTTACTGTGGCTACACATATTAAACGTGGCTCCATGAGATCTACTGCTTCTAATTTCATTCCTACACGAAATCCGTGATTTGGAACATCCTGACATGGAGAAGCAAAAACATTAACACTAGTGAAAAGAAGAACGTACAACTCCACTACCACTAAGAAAGCACAAATAGAAGCAACATAGCAAAATAATTTAAACCAAAAATCTCAAATAATTCTTTAACTACTCAAATATATTAAGAAGGTGATGTATTTAAGAACTAGGTAGGAAACATTCATTTCTATTTTACTCAGACTGAAAATAAAACACAGTTTGGAAAGCTCCAATTCTTAAGAAAACATTTATATTACTTTACTGGTATATATTTTGATTACATTCACTTTTATTAAGAAATTCTAATACAAAACAAAGACATTTTGCTCAACAATTATCTGCATTTATGAAACATTAAAAAAACACACATAATTATTATGCTGCCATTTAAATTTACCTTATTAAATAGTTTTACTGGTGCTGCAATGGAGCCAGTTTCCCTGAGGTAGTCAAACCATTTGAAAGGAAGTTTTGTGTAACCTGAAAAATACAACTGTTTTAAGTAGCAGTTCATTTAAAATTAGTGTAATATGAAAAAAAAGATAAAAGGTGACTCAGTACACACTAAAATCTCAGATTTTAGGTTATATGATAAATTTCTAACTCATGCTCTAATACTGCTGAGTAAAATCATTTTCCCCAAGTTATAAGGATTTCTTTCCCTTTGTAGGTAGACACTTGTATCTACTTACTCTAATGCAAAAGTGACTCTCTTTTTGGGGTGATATTTTTCTGCTTTGCAAGAAAGAAAACAAATTGAGCCAAAGCTATTTTATAGACCTGTTTTAACTTTGCTCCCTCCTTTCTTTAGAGAAAAACCTAAGACTCAGATATCAAAATTTGGAAACAGTCACTGGTTAAGCCATGAAGGCTATTTAAAGTAACATATAACTTCTTTTAAAAAGCCACATGGTAATCTAAGGATTGAAACTTGCTTACCCCTCAAAGGCTAAAGAATCTTAATTAAAAAAGGAGTTTATGTATGCAATAGCCTGCTGAGCCTATATGACTGTCTCAATGGGGTTTAGAGTAACATTAATTCATACTATACTATATTCACATTATAGAATCTACAAATGCTCAGGAAAAATTCTATACTAATGTAATTTAGTGTTGCTAGCTACAATACAGTGCTTTATGTTTTTAGAGCCCCCCCATAGCTCTTGTGTGTATGTGTGTCTTAAATGTTGTGAATAGATACAGTCTAAGGTAAAATGAAGTACCTCTGGGTGGAGTAAGTTCAATCATGTTAATTTCACAGAAACCGACAGGGAAAATAGAAGGAGAGGTCGCATGATAACAGAACCAGTCAGATCCATCTGCTGCTTCTGAGCCGTCGATCCCAATCATTAGGAATCCGTCTGCCAGCACCTTTCAAATTAAGAGAAGCCCAAGTATTTGAAATTAGATACCACTAATTGTAAAAACAATCCTTTAAACTAAATGGCATTCTAGAAAAGAAAAGCTATTACATAAAGGTGTCTTAAAAGTAAAAAAAATGCTCTATCAACTCTATTGGATTAAGTTAAACTAACTGAAATTATAATGAAGAATCTCTGTAAATTCTAGTGTGTACCAGGAACAAAAGCAGGATTCCAGAGGTCTGGGAAAAACAGCTCCTTCATTAATGGCTAAAGCTGTCTACTGCTGTGAAATCATGAAAATAGGCTGGTTGCTTTTCCACAATTTGGTCTCAGCAAGGTTCTAAATCCTATGCACTAATGCCTTTACTCTTCTGTTGCTAATTTATCATAGACCAGAGGAACTTTTCCAAACCTCTCCAGTGTCTTCAAGCTCCCAACTTTACCTCTCTTAGCTGCAGATAACTATGGTCATCTATGACAGAGACTAAGGCTGACCCACGTAAGCATCCTCAAACTCCTTCCTTCACATCGCAAAAAACATTCTCAGAAGCAACCATCTTTTCTTCCAAGAGAAGCCCTCCATCCTGTCCTGTTACCACTGGGATCTTTTCCAAAACCACCATCTCTCATACTCTTATGTCTCCCAAGTTTGTACTATGTCAAAAATATTTTTAGTATATTTTATTCTGAAACATTTTACAGCTTATAGAAAAGTTACAAGAACAGTATGAAGGACTCCTGTATACGCTTGATCCAGAGATTCAAGTTTTGCCAATTGTTCTAGCACCGTGTTTTACAGCCAAGGATCCAATCCAGGCCATTCACTGTACTCATCTGTTCCTCTGGCCTTATTTATCACTTCAGTTCCTCAGTCCTTCACTTACATGACCTTGGTATCTCTGAAGATTTTAGGTCAGTCATATTGAAGAATTTCCCTCAATCTGGGTTGGTCCAACGTTTGCTCATGATTCAACCCAGGATACACCTTTTGGCTGGAATATCACAAATGTTGAGTTCTTTGCATTGCATCCAATTTATAGAGGAGAAACCTGGCAGACACCATCCTAACCAAGTTCCCCCCACTAGTCATGGGAAAATAGTTATCCTATACCTCCCAACAGGATGCAACTTTGTAATTAATACACATTTTGTGAGGAGATCTATTCCCTACCCTACTTTCATGCACCAGTTACAGCACTGACTGATGTTTCTTGCTTCAAGAAATTATTACTATCGTGGTTGCCAAACGATTTTCTAATGCTGTCATTCCTTCTACTGTAAGGAAGAGCTTTCTCTTTTTTCCATTTACTTACTCATTTATTTATATCACTATAGACTTAGGAGTTCCTATTTTATTCGAAAACTTTTAGTCATATTTGGCCAGGAGGAGCCCAACCTGGCTTCTATTCCCTTTTGACTTGTCCCCATAATTCTTTGAGCACTTCCTTACTTTCTGGGGAAACAAGTCATGGGGGAAGCTAGAACTGAAAGGCTGTGATACAGAACAGGGCCACCCTATGCAAATGAGTGAGCACGAGACCAGTCAAGAAAGAAAGAGAAGTGGCACAGACACAAAGAAGTAAAGATGCAATAAAGAGGTTCCTGAGAGCTGGAGAGAACAACACTGGGTCGGTGTTTTTCTAGTTCACTTCTCTCTGTCCCTGGATGTCTGTGAGATTGCCCATTATAGCCCTACAGCAACTTCAGAACTATCTTGAGTGGATTTCTGTTCTTTTAAGCAAAAAGGCTTTGACTAGCATACCCAGTGCAACTGTTTGATGTGTACTGTATGTCACCTACTTGTTATTTCCTAAATAGGGCCTGTACTTTCCTATTTTTATGTTTTACGCATTCTCTTTCCAGTGGCACAGTTTCCCCTGTATGTCTGTGGAGTCTAGTTTTTCCCATCCTTCACGATATAGTTTTCAAGTGCCTTCTATAAAGAAAATGCTTCCTCTATAAAGCTTGCCCTGATTCCTCTGAAGATCTGATCTCTGTCTTCTTTAAATTCCAATTGTACTTTGTTTGGACCTCCTCTTAGGTCACAGTTCATCTTGTATTAAACTTATTTTGTACATCTTACTTTGTTCTAAACACTGTAAACTCTTTAGAGTCTGTTGTGGGTTGCACTATGTTCCCCAAAAGATTTGTTCAAGTCTTAACCCCTGGTACCTGTGAATGTGACCTTAATTGGAAATAGTTATCTTTACAGGTATAATCAAATTAAGAGAAGGTCATACTGAACTAGAGTGGGCCCTAATCCACTGACTGGTATCTTTATAAACAGAGAAAGGAGCAGGAGATTTGAACACAGAGACACTGACACAAACACAGAGGGAAAAAGGTCAGGTGACAATGGAGGCAGAGATTGGAGTGCTGCAGCTGCAAGCCAAGAACACCAAGGATTGCTGACAACCACCAAAAGCTAGGAAGAGGCAAGGAAGGAGTCTTCCCCAGAGTCTTTGGAGGGAGTGTGCCCTGCCGATACTTTGATTTTGGACTTCTAGCTTCCGAACTGGGAGGTAATAAATTTCTGTTGTTTTAAGCCGTTTTCGGCCATTTATTACAGCAGCCCTAAGAAATGAATACAGAGTCCAAATCCAGCGTAGAAAGCATAGAAACTTCAGAATTCTACTCATTGGGCACTTCGTTTTCACCTGGCTGTGAAAATCACCTAGAGTACTTTTTCAAATTTTTTTGTTCAAACAAATACAAGTATCTGGGGGGCAATGTTTCTTGTGATTTTGACTGAAGTGGGCACGTATGGAGTGGGTCATGGAAATCTGTGCTGACCAGGTAGTTCTGACCATTAGTAAGGCAAAGAGGAAGAGCAACGGTTTGGGACCAGCCTTAGCTGTTCGACATTGAACACAAGTGCTTGGTAAGTGTGGTAAGTGGCAGCCATCATAACTGTTTTTAATTCTTTTGGCTTAAGGTTTTAAACTGTGTTGAAATATAAATTACATTTTAAGTTACACCTTTATGTAAGCAGATTCTGGACCAGTGATTGTTAACCATGGCTGCATATGAGAATCACCTTCGGACCTTAAAAAATGCCAGTACTAAGGCCCCAAACCAGCTGATTAAATCAGAATTGGGGGAGAAGGATCTTGGGCACCTGTGTTTAAGTTCCCCATGGGATTCTGATGTCTGCTGAGAACTGAGGACCATGCCCTAGATATTTTCAGAAGAACAGTTTCAGATGAGAAAAAAAAAAAAAAAAAAAAGAAGAAACAAAGTGCTTACAAGAGAAAGAAAAAGGCATAAAAGGCAACACAGAAAATTCAGAAGATAAATTTGGCCTTGTTGTGATTCTGTGTTGGACCAGCTTTGATCAGAAATAACTTCTCCCCAGTGAAGATTCAGATACACATGTACTTCGTGTCAAGCTGACTTTGTTAGGGGTCTCCTCCTCCCACTGTCTTAAACCCAGTTCCTGTAACTGCACGTCAACATTTAAAAATGTATTTTCTTACCTTTCTAATGGTTGCAACACATATTGTAGAAAGATTTAATGGGTCTATAGCTTCTAATTTCATTCCTTCCTTGAACCATTCCCCACTCTGGTCTACTTCTTTTACCTAAAGAATTACATGAAAGCAAATCTGTTACAAATGTTGCCATTTTAATAACTGAAATATTACCAATCTGAAAACGTCCCTGTGAAAATAACAAATGCCTTCTCCTACCTACCTAACATCATAACTCAAACTTCCATAGGGAACAGAAAGAATACAGGCAAATAAGCAGAATTTAAGGAAAATTATACTCAACAGTTGTGGCACCTATGGATTACAAGGTCTTAATCCTTTTAAGTGAACACGTAATTGTGATTTCCATAATTTTAGAAAAAGTGTCCACAGTACTCTTTCAAGCCTAATTTACAAATGAGGGTTCTTATAAAAACTTCTTACCTTAGCAAATAAATGTGGTGGTGTATCAAAATGTCCATCCTGTTTCTTTGTAATATCTACAAGGAAAAGTTACATACTAATCTGTCAGCATTTGTGAGAAGACCAAAAAACGTTTTTTTGAAGGTTTCAAACTCACAAGGTATGTAATGCCCTAAAAAACATGGCAAATATACATGCCTTCCTCTCTTCAGAGTACATGTGCTTATGCTAATTATGTTATATAATTATATAATTATATTCAGCCAATGAGAATACTGGCAATTCCCTAGCCAGGGAATTACAACCTTAGAAGCATGTTTTAATGTGTTTAGTATCAAGTCTAACCACACTTAATCTTGCTATTTGAATTAAAATTGAACGGAAAAGGAAAGGCTATCTTTAGATCTTTCCAACGGGCTGGATAAGAAAAAAAGAAAACAATTGTAGCTGTGACTGAAAGTGCATTATTTTTTTATTACAAGCAAGTGGAAAGAATATATAGATTTAGTTAGGACAGTAATCTTCTGGTGTGAACCTTCACTAACTAAGGTAGAAGCAGCCCAGATACCTAGGATGCTATTTATGATCTATGCTATTCTTAGATAAAAAATAACCAAACAGTATAACTCAGGTTCCTGATATTTTCAATAGGGATTTTTGTGTAAGGTGCTTACCAGATCTTTTGAATCGATGGCCTATACTTCGAGACCAACCAATATGATGGATTAATGGGCTGTGCATGTGGCACCAGAAGTCATCTGTTCTATCTTCACTCTCTTCATACACTAGCCTTAATCTTCCTCCAATTACACTTTCCACCACTGCTACTCGTGTTCGACACAAATGCCTCTTGTCAACCACTTCTACTCTCATGCAAGTTTTAAAAGGATACTGCATACTCTCTGAAACCTTGAAACAAAAGCAGACAAAAACTGTTTGCAATTCATGATAAAAGTCTGCACTATTAAAAATACTAAGTGCCCTCGATATTTAACATAGATCTATTGGCTCACTAAATTAAAACAATTCCTTAAAAAAAACTGCTAAGTTACTCATTTTTTCGGATCTCTCATTTGACACTTTTTGTATTTCTTGTCGAAGTCCTTTCTAAGATCCTATCTTTACCTTCTGTGAGAAATCAGGCGGAAGTGTTTTGGCACCAGTAAGTCGTTTCACTAGAAAAGCTTTCCAGTTTGTATACTTATGTTGAATAGCTAAAACAAAAGAAATAAACCGTCACACTTTAGCAAAAAGTAGAAGCGCTTCATAAACTACTTGTTAAAAAACAGTAGCAAATTTCCCTGCAATTCACAGTATTAAGGTTCTGAACAAGAATAACAAAAATAGAGAAAACAAGTATATCTTGACAGCAAATAAGTTACCTGAAATAAAAAAATTATTATTTTGACTTCTACATTACTTTTAATGTTATTATGTGTGAATTAAAGTATATATATTTAAAAGACAGTAAACGTACTAAGTTACTTACTTCTAGGAGGGACGAGAGGTTTTCCACTAGCTGCACACCAACCAACTGGATGGATATCAGAACCACATATATTGCACCAGAAGTCCAGACCAGAGTCATTTTCAAATCCTTCATATCTTAAAAGGGCATTGTAACCTGAAACCAACAAATTATACATATCATATCAATCAACACAGAAAAAGAAAACTTAAAATAATTGAAACAGGACAGCTTCTGGCAGCAGCTATCAGACTTTAGTGTGCATCTGCATTGAGAATCAGCCACCAGATTTGTTAACAGACTGCTAAGACCCACCTGCAGAGTTTCTGATTTAGCAGATCTGGGGTGGGGCCCAAGACCTTGCATTTCTAACAAGTCCCCAGGGGATCTGATGCTGCTGGTCCATGGACCAGACTTTGAGAACCATTGGTTTATTGTACAATGCAATCAGTTTAACTGTTTCCCGGGCATGGCTTCTTCCTTTGAATATACTGCAATTTTACCCACAATTTCCTAAATTCTAGAAAAAAATTCTCAGTGAAAACATTGGTGAAGAAGTTCCACTAGAATGTGTAGTTTTGAAAACAAAGGTTGTGGCAACTTAGTAAAACCTTGTCAAGTCACAGAAATCCAGTAACAGTATATTTCAAATAAACTGCTTTATCCAACGATTCGATGACGAAGTATCTGTCAGTCTGTCATACGGTGGTGCTTTCATCTTGCTGTGATGCTGGAAACTATGCCACTAGCATTTCAAATACCAGCAGGGTCACCCATGAGAGACAGATTTCAACAGAGCTTCCAGACTAAGACTGGAAAGAAGGACCTGGCAATCAACTTCTAAAAAATTGGCCAGTGAAAACCTTATGGATAGCAGCAGAACGCTGTCTGATATAGTGCCAGAAGAGGAGCCCCTCAAGTTGGAAGGCACTCAGAATACGACTGAGGAACAGCTGCCTCCTCAAAGTAGAGTCAATCTTGATGACGTGGATGGAGTAAAGCTTTTGGGACCCTCATTTGCTGATGTGGCACAACTCAAAATGAGAAGAAACAGTTGCAAACAGCCATTAATAATTGGAACATGGATTGTACAAAGCATGAATCTAGGAAAATTGGAAGTTGCCAACAATGAAATGGAATGCTTGAGGATCAATATCCTAGACATCAGTAAGCTGAAATGGACTGGCACTGGTCATTTTAAATGGGACGATAATGTGGTCTAATATGCGAGGAATGACAAATTCAAGAGAAACGGTGTCACATTCATTGTGAAAAAGAACATTTCGAGATCTATCCTGATATACAATGCTGTAACTGATAAGATAATATCCATATGTCTACAAGGAAGATCAGTTAAGACGAGTATTATTCAAATTTATACACTAACCGTTAACGTCAAAGATGAAGAAACTGAAGATTTTTATCAACTTCTGCAGTCTGAAATTGATCAAACATGTAATCAAGATGCATGGACAATTACTGGTGACTGGAATACGGAAGTTGGAAACAAAGAAAGATCAGCAGTTAGAAAATATGGCCTTGGTGATAGAAAGGACTTGGGAGATTACATGACAGAATTTGGTAAGACCAACGACTTCTTCATTGCAAATGCCTTTTCTCACTATATACACATGGACCTCGCTGCATGGAATACACAGGAATTAAATGAATTACATCTGTGGAAAGACATGATGGAGAAGCTCAATATCATCAGTCACAATAAGACCAGGCACAGACTGTGGAACAGACCATCAACTGCTCACATGCAAGTTCAAGCTGAAGCTGAAGAAAATTAGAACAAGTCCACAAGAAGCAAAGAACAACCTTGAGCACTTCCCACCTGAATTTAGAGACCATCTCAAGAAAAGATTTGACAGGTTGAACACTAATGACCAAAGACCAGACAAGTTGTGGGATGATATCAAGGATATCATACATAGAGAAAGCAAAAAGTCATTAAGAAGACAGAAAAGAGAAAAAAAAAAAGACCAAAGACCAAAAGGACTCTGAAACTTGCTCTTGAATGTAGAGTAGCTAAAGCAAATAGAAGAAAGGATGAAATAAAAGAGTTGAACGGAAGATTTCAAAGGGTGACTCAAGAAGACAAAGCATTATAATGAAACATGCAAAAGACCTGCAGTCAGAAAACCAAAAGGGTAGAACAAGCTCCGCATTTCTCAAGCTGAAAGAAATGAAAAAAAATTTCAAGCCTCGAGTTGCAATCCTGAAGGATTCTATGAGCAAAAAACTGAATGATGCAGGAAGCATCAAAATAAGATGGAAGGAATACACAGAATCATTGCACAAAAAGAAGTGGTTGACGGTTAACCATTTCAGGAGGTAGCATATAATCAAGTACTGAAAGAAGAAGTTCAAGCTGCACTGAAGGCACTGGCGAAAAACAAGGCTCCAGGAATTGATGAAATTCCAACTGAGATGTTTCAACAAACAGATGCAATGCTGGAAGTACCCACTTATCTACGCCAAGATATTTGGAACACAGCTACTTGGCCAACAGATTGAAAGAGATCCATATACGCGCCTATTCCAAAGAAAAATGACCCAAAAGAATGCAGAGATTATTGAACAGTATCATTAATATCACACGTAAGTAAAATTATGTTGAAGATAATTAAAAAATGGTTGCAGCAGTACATCAACAGGGAACTGCCAAAAATTCCAGCCAGCCAGAACTTCGTAAAAACCAAATCAAACTTATAAGAAATACTAAACGGAGTTCTCTGGTTAGAGAACCAACAATATCAGACAACAACTGGGGTCTAGGACACAGGACAGCATCAGCCAGATATCAACCTAGGTAAAGAACTCTCAATAATAAAGCTAAAAGACTTGAAACACGGAAAGAGAGACATCAATCTGTAAATGACAACAATGTCAAAACAATGAAAGGAGTTATAAATGGTGTAGGTATAGAGTTTTCAAATGGAGAGGAAGTCAAGGCAGTATCAAGTAATAAAAGACTAGTTCAAACTTAGGAAGATAAGGGTAAATTTCAAGGTAACCACAAAGAAAGCTAACAAACCTACTCATCAGAATAAAAAAGAAGAAAAACAAAGTCTCAGTAAACACAAAATCTATAATAATGAAAGAAAAGAAAACCCACAAACAAAAGGAACTCAGCACAGGAAAGTAAGGGGAAGAAAGAAAACATCAGCCCAGTCCATGATAATGCA